TTTTTTAAGCAATAAACAAGTGCATTTCATTTCTTACCTTAAAGTGTGTTCACTGTGGGTATTTTTATCTTCTCAGTCAGTGTGATGTGAGGGTTAGGAATAGGTCCTTGATTACTTAAGTAAGATGCCAGAGAAACCAGCTATGCTAATGTAGAAGGAAGATGTGAGCTGGAAACAGGAAAGAGAAGCCTGTTCTTTTTCATTCTGGGAGACTGGCGGAAGGAGAAGGGAAGAGGATGAAGTGGGAGGGTAGTAGGGCTCAATCTGCATGTTTGCTGAGGAGTTTGTCTGAAACGTCTCCATGGTGGATCAGGAGACTTGGCAGGAGGGGATGGGAAGGTGAGCCCAGTTTTGGCTGAATAAGAGCCCTGAGGACTGCAGTGGCAAATGCTAGCAGGACATAGGTGCTACTCAGTAGACAAGGGACATTCCAGAGACCAGAGGGGCCAAGGAGCCTGAATGGAATGGTATCTAAATGGAAAAGTTGAAGTGATGAAATGGTCATCCCCTCTTCCATGCAGGTGTGTAAGGCTCACTCTTCCCTGTACGCCTGCATTGCATCTGGGAGAGGAGGATGGGGATGAGAGACTGAGAGAAGTGAGAGACTTGGTGTTTAACCCAAGTTAGTTACTGAACATTATTCAAAAGGTCATAGTTCAGTCTGGATGGAAGATTTAGCTCTTCTTTTTCCCTATAATCCACCAAATGGAGACTTAGATGAAGAACCATATGAGTTATAAAGGATGAAAGAACTGGATTTTCCTTGTACATTGGAGGAAACTGTAAATCAACAAGCGGCTATGGCGTGTGTGTGTGTGTGTATTTCTTAACCACTCACATTTTGGCTATTGGAGAAAACTCCCTCAGCAGTGATAGTCCAATCTTTTGAGTCTTTTGGGTCTACAGAGATGTGATCATGTGTCCCTGGCTTTTCCTTTTACCATTTGCCTCAGGCTATCCCAAACCCTCAGTTCTTTTGTTCAGCCAATTGCATCCCTGGTCCCTTAGTCTCAGCAGATTACCTGCTTAGCATTTCACAGTAAAAGTATAAGCTTTATGAAGCTTGGAAAAAAAAAAAAAAACCCTCAACCCTCCTAGATGTCAACGGGACTGTATTTAATAAGTACACTATCTCTCTAGCCACCCATTCATCTCCCCATCCCTTCTCCACCGAGTCCTCCATCTTGGATTTATTGACTAAAGTGCTTCCTAAAATAACTGACTCCATTTGCTTCATCAACAGAACTCTCTCCCCAACTAGAGATTATTCTGAGGCCTGTTCCTAGGAGACAGGAAATCACATCTCATTTTCTTCTAGGGGTTTTAAGAGCATCCACAGGTCCCAGTCACTGTTTTTTTTTTCAGCCTCAATTTTCTTTTTCCTACAATGATGTTTCTTCAATGGTTCTTCCAACCAAGAAAAATGGATTAAGAAATCTAAATCTACTGCCAGTCTAAGAAAAGTGCAAAAATGCAACTCAGGAAGATTGCTTAACTCAACAGAATCAAGGTGAAAATAATTTAGCCATTTCTTCTGGGTGAAGAAAAATTGAAATGGATTCTAGAGCAGAACTGTTCAATAGAATTTTTACAATAATGAAAATGTTCCTTAGCTGAGCTGTTTAATAATGGAGCACTAGAAATGTGACAAGTGCAACTGAGGAACAGAATTTTAAATTTTATTTAATTTAAATTTAAGGAGTCATGTGTGGCTAGTGGCTATTGTTTTGGACAGTGCAGTTCTAGAGACATCACAATAATGAAGCCAACGGAAGTTCAGGAAAAAGGCTGGTTAAAGTTACATTGGGCCAGAACCCATTTGTTCCCCCTGCTTCTGGCAGTTGAAACATCATGGCGTTATAAGCTCCTAGTCCACAAATGGAGAGCTCCAATGTTAGAAGAGCTTTTCAGGCAAAGTCTACTCAATGAGCAGGTTAGACACTTGCTTTTTGTCCAGTTCTGTGAGTTTATTCCTAAAATTCTCATTGTATACAGATTCCTGCAATTATTTATTACCTGGAACCCTGGTCCGGACAGAAGCAACAAGTTCTTGAACAATTTCATCATTGCTTTTCCCCTCACCACCAGAAGATGACCTTGGCTGAACCTCAAGTATGGTGTTGATTAAGGTGCTGGTCTCTTTGTACTAGAAGGGCAGTAAGAGACAGAACAGTGAAGACTCAAATTCTCAAAACATAATTTTGCAGTACATGTAATTTACTTACAGAAAGAAAGGCAAGTCTCAAAACCAAGAATATTTATTTTATTTTATGGTGGTAAAAATGCCTAACATGAGATCTACCCTCTTAACAAATTTTTAAGAGTACGATACAGTATTGCTGACTGTAGGTACAATTTGTACAGAAGATCTCTGGAGCTTATTCATCTTGCTCCACTGCAACTTTATGCCTGTTAATTAGTAACTCCTCATTCCTTCCTCCCCCACCTCTGGCAATTGCCATTCCACTCTTCGATTCTGTGAACTTGACTATTTCAGATAACTTTATGAAAGTTGAATCATTCAGTATTTGTATTTTTGTGATTAGCTTAAGGAGACTTTATTTTTTATGTTGAAGCTAGAGTTGGTAAAATGTAGTCATTGGAAATGCCCAATAGAGAGTTTTTACTATTACATGTAAAAAATGTTTGTTGAACAGTAGTGTAAATGTACCTAATGTCAATGAACCATATGTTTAAAAATGGTCAGAATGGTACATTATATGTTATATATATTTTACTACAACGAAAAACAGTTACTTTTTTTCAGTTAATCAGTTAAAAAGTAGTTGCAAAAATGAGAAATAATCATCAAAACACAGTTTCAGGACATATTTATATTTAGATAACATTTTTCTCAATTAGAAAAGTATTATGGATTATTATGGAGAATTTGGAAAACAAAAAATGCATAATTCCTACTTTTTAGAGATAATTATAATTATGGTTTAATTATTCATAATTAAATGTAATTAAATAAACAATCTTTAGTTTACTCTTAGACATTTTGTCTATGTGCATATAGTTTACAAAATTGAACTCAGAATTTATGTCATATTCATTCTTTTTTCAATATCATGAGCCTTCTTTCATAATCAAAAAAATCCTAACTATGTCTTTAAGTGACTATCTAATGCTTTGTTGTATGAATATACCATAATTAATATAGTTATTTATCTACATTTTGGACATTTCTAGTTTTTTGATTTTTTTTTTTTTTTGAGACAGAGTCTCATTATGTCACCCTTGACAGAGTGCCATGGTGTCACAGCTCACAGCAACCTTAAACTCCTGGCCTCAAGCAATTCTCCTGACTCAGCCTCCCAAGTAGGTAGGACTACAGGTGCCCACCACAATGCCTGGCCACTTTTCTGTTGCAGTTGTTATTTAGCTGGCCCAGATTGGGTTTGAACCCACCAGACTGGGTGTATGTGGCCGGTACCGTAACCACTGTATAATAGGCACCAAGCCTAGTTTTTTGATCTTATTTGATCCTTAGAATAGAATATCTGTATACAAATTTCATCTGCTATTTTTAAAATTTTTTAAATGATAGATTATGGAAGTATTACTACATAGAGTAGTTTCTAAAAACACTGTAGCAATCATGTTCCTAACAATAGTGTATCAGAGGGCTCATCTTTCTGTGTCTTTGCAAGAATTAATAATACAGAATCTTTTTCAATTTAATAAATAAAAAATAGCTTCTCATTTTTTGAACTTCTTTGAGGATTAATAGATTTAAACATTTGGAAAAATATGTTCTTTAGCCATGATTTTTAGTATTTTGTAAATTATTAATTTATAAAAGATATGCCCATAATAAGGAGAGTTAACTTTTCTAGTTTATTTTTAATGTTTTGGTTTGCCTTTTTTTAATGAAAAAAATTTTTTTGAGGCAGTCTTATTCTGTTGCTCTGGGTAGAGTATAATGGTGTCATCATAGCTCTCAGCAACATCAAACTCCTAGGCTCAAGTGATCCTCTTGCCTCAGCCTCCTGAGTAGCTGGGACAACAGATGCCTGCTATAACATCTGGCTAATTTTTCTGTTTTTAGTAGAGATAGAGTTTCACTTTGCTCAGGCTAGGCTAGAACTCCTGAGCTGATACAATCTACCCATCTCGGCCTCCCAGAGCGCGGGAATTATAGACATGTGCCACTGCACCTGGTTTTTTTTTAACCTTTTTGATATAGTCACTTTTATTGGCTTTTTAAAATGTGATTTATTTTTAGCAGTGATTTTTTTTTTTTTCAGTTTTTGGCCAGGGCCAGGTTTGAACCCACCACCTCAGGTATATGGGGCCAGTGCCCTACTCCTTTGAGCCACAGGCGCTACCTAATATGATTTATTTTTGATGTGATTCGTTTTTCATGTTTGAAAAATTTTATTCCAAGGTCACTTTTGACATATTCATTAGGTCCTAAACACAAATGTAAAGTTATTTACTTAATGTTATAGTTAAATAGTTTGTTTTATTTGCTCAGTGCCAGTCACTTAATATTATAACTTTTTCATTTCAGTTCTTGACATTTTGTGAGTTGTGATGCACTTAGGACATTTAGTGCAGCCAGCATAGTATTATTATACTTCCTATGATAGTCAGCTAGAGACTTCTAGTTCAGACCAACTCCCAGTTCTCTCTTTAGTGAAGACCACATTCTCCCTCATCCTTGCAGTTGGGTAGGTCACATAGCCCAAAACAACTGTAGGAAAGAGAAGGAATAACTGGGATGAAGAGAACACAAACCATGTGGGTCTCAGGTAAAGGGTGGCAGAATATGCCAACCCCAAATATGCCATTTAGACCTCAAGATTACTTTGAGAAAAGGCAAATTTGAAAAACAGCAAGAAGGGTATTCTAATCTTCCTCTTTCCTGAAAACAGGAGATAAATACTGCCATGTGAAAGATGCCTTCCCTTTACAAAGACACATTCTTTGATGGAGAGTTACAGCCAAGAGAATTCTGTACAAAACGACCTTGTTAAAATAATTCTTATCTTCCTTTAGCCTTCCCATCTAATTTAGTTACTTTTCCACAATGGCATCTTTTTTTTCAATCTGATAAAAAGCACAACTTCTTTGGGTCTTCATTTCTTTATGAATATTATGCAAAACTTATATTAAATGTGCATGCTTTTCTCCTGTTAATCTCTCTTATGTCAGTTTAATTCTCAGGCCTAGTCTGGCCCCCATGAGGACAGAGATGGGGCTTTGCCTCTGCTTCTCTAATGTCCTCTCTCCTGTGTGGGCCTGGCTGTATCTCCCTACATTGCCTTCATTCTTTCTTATGGCAGAAGAATGAATGGCAAAGTAGGGAGACCTATGTGGCAGATGGGAGTGGGGTGGGTGTGTCCAGGACAAGGACTCAGACAGCTGCTGATATGCAGTCTGCTGGGCAGGGGCTAGAGGGGACAGAGAAAGTACCATCCCCCTACCCCCAGCACCTGAACACACTATCTCAGGAAGGGGTCCTGTTTAATTCACATGGGTCATGTGTGTACTCCTTGGACCAATTGGAGTGGCCAAGGGAGGGAGTGCTTTTTTATACTAATGGCCTTTTCTATAATAATGAAAAATCATTTACCTGATTCAGAATTTTATAATCATCTTCTAATGTTTCAGGAAAAAAAATTTTTTTTCAATGTATCTTTGATCAGAAGATACCTTTTTCAGAAGGTATCTTTGATCCCAGGTATCTGTAACTCTACCAACACATGTAACTTTTGGCCAAGCCTGATCACATGTCTGCCTCTATAGAGGTAGAAAGTGGTTGGGAATCTTATCAAAATTTCATGGAATGGGGAGGATGGAGTTTCCCCAAAGGAGAGAGATGGGAGTGGGGCATAGATGAACCGGAATCATGGAGAAAGGGAGGCTAGGCAGGAAAGCATACCAGGGCTCACTAGATACCTGCTGTTTCAGTTATTCTGAAACCACTGGAAAAGATTTAAAAAGACACTGCAGGTACCCACCACCAAGAACTTTACCCCATCAACAGTGCTGTCCTCACAGGATGCAGTAAGCCTTCCTATATCCACACTGCCCTATTCCTTTACTTGCCCTCCCCTCCGCCCTCCAGAGCAGATAGTCAGAGGAACAAACATTGACAGTAGGTTTAGTCATCATTTTTTCCTCCTAAAAATAGAATAAGGAAAACCAAGATGCATTATTCTTACTCCCAGCTGAATGGCAAAGTGATCTTAATGCCAGAGAATATGAAAGAAGGTGTGTGAACCTTGACCTCTTGGTGCTCTTTCTAGAGGTTCCACTGTTGTTTTGCATGGGTTCCTTGATGTCTAGGCAGATTTCACCCTCTGACACTTACAGGGACAAATTTAGGTTGAACAGAAGGATGGTTCCCCTCAGGTTCATGAAACCAAATTTAGTTCCTGACATTTAGTTTTCCAGCACCCTTAGGGGCACACCCCATTTCATGGCTTCAGTTCACCTGCAGATGCCTGTGCTTTGCAGATGATGGAAGTGGAAGGGTAGGCAGTGCCCAGGAAGCCTTGAGTGCCATGCTGAGGAGCTTGGACTACCCTCAGGTAATAGTGCAACATCAGGAGGTCTACACAGAGGAGTAAAATAATCCAGTTTGCTCTGTGATTTGATACTGTGATCATGCTTTTAACAAACAGTGTTTTATCTGCTTTGCACATTTCTTACTGTATTTTAAAATCTAATGGTGTGCAGATTCTCAACTTTTGTGTAATGAGACAAAAGTGCCCAGCATGGAAGGAAATGGGCAAAAAAGAAGGGGCTGTGCTCTCATCCAAAGCCCCATGCTATGCATGGACCACGAGTAGGTAGGTTATGCACAAGGCAGACAGCCTGAGGATGGAGGGGTTGGGCAGAGGAGAGACAGGGAAAGTGTATGGTAATCCTAGGATTCTGTGAAGGATCTGGAAGGAATAGGCTTAGCTGGAACCAAATGTTGAAGTCAAAATGAAATGATGATCTTATTTGTTTATTTGGGAATTTTATAATAAAACTTACAGGGGGCTCGGCACCTGTGGCTCAAGCAGCTAAGGTGCCAGCCACATACATCTAAGGTGGCGGGTTCAAATCCAGCCCCGACCCTCCAACCAACAATGACGGCTGCAACCAAAAAATAGCTGGGTGTTGTGGCGGGTGCCTGTGGTCCCAGCTACTTGGGAGGCGGAGGCAGGAGACTCACTTGAGCCCAGGAGTTGGAGGTTGCTGTGAGCTGTGAAGCCACGGCACTCTACCCAGGGGGATAGCTTGAGGCTCTGTCTCAAAAAAAAAAAAAAAAAAAAAACTTACCGGGACAGTGAGGTGATTACTGATATTTTGAATTTATATTCACAACAAAATATATATTTTCAGTTTAAGGACCACATACCTGGAAAACTAGGTTGGCATTTTCATGCATTCCAAAAATTTCTGGGTCATCTATCAAAGGCAGATTTTCAATGTAGTCCTTAAACTCCTGTAGGCTGTCAGCCTTGGGTGCAAAATAGATGCCTGTTATTAAAAAAAACACAGAAGACAAATACGTCTTAAATAGATTGGCTTTGATTGCCAAGTCTGGCTCTTCTCTGTCTGGTTCAGATGGTGGCTGCAACCAGCTGCCTCATGCAGAAGAGGGGATTGTGTTTTTCTAAACTTCCTTGCTTTCATTGCTATGTCTAGTTTTGTTTCCTTTTCTTGAGGCCTTGAGCATCTGTTATTGTCTTAACTTTTCAGGATCGCTCCTCTGAACATTTCAAAATTCTGAGAATCCAGGGATATGCCACTGAAAGGTGTGCCCCACTAAGGACTCCAGATTTATGCTTGTGTTAGAGATTGCTTTCCTATTTGTTTGACAAACAACAAAAACTCTCTCCAATTTCCCAAACGAAATGATACATTTACAAAACATTAAGATCTAGGGCTACTCAATTTTCTGTAGTGGTTTTAGGACATACAGTTGAGTCTTATCAATTTTTAGGGTCAGTCCCTTACCAATCAGTGGTAGGAGCTTTTATGAGTTCACTCTGTACTAATCAGATCGCTCTTTGCAGGGGGGATGAACACTCAGGACCATTAATCTATTTGCTGTCTGACCCATAATGAGCTATCACCAACTCACAAACCTGTTTTTTACTTAACTTGCTGTAATAGAAATTTTCTTTGATTACTTATAAAATATACTAGAGTGTAACTTTGAAAACACATTTAGAAACAATGCAATCAACTTTAAAGCAGAAATAATTCCAAGTGGTTACTGCACACCATGTATCTTTGTGCTCTATTGAACCAGCTCTGAAGGTCAAGTGTGTAGTTGGGGGAAGAGGGACTGGTTGTGAAGACTGGGCACAGACAGCCCCTGTGTGGGAAACTGAGATACTGTCAGTGGCTTCTTGAGAAAAGCTTTTTTTATAATAATGAAAGATCATTCACCTGATTCAGAATATTTATAATCATCTTCTAATGTTTCAGGAGAAAAAAATTTTTTCAAGACAGTACGAAGGCATCTTTGATCCCAGGTATCTGTGACTCTACCTCCATATGTAATTTCACCTGAAAA